TGGAGGTTGCTGTGAGCTAGGCTGATGCCACGGCACTCTAGCCCGGGCAACACAGTGAGACTCTGTCTGAAAAAAAAAAAAAAAAGTGAAGTTGAACATATTTTCATATGTTGAAGGGACATTTTATATATATGTAAGTTTTTATATATTTTTTTTGTGAATTGTCTCTTCGTGGCTTTTGCCTGTTCTATAGTTGTTTTGTGTTTTTTCTTGTTTTAAAAAATTCTTTCTTTTAGCTTTGTGATAACTGTTGCAGATATTTTCTTCCCAACTTGCCATTTGTCTTTTGCTCATGCTGTTGTTTTTTTTGGTTTTTTTTGAGACAGAGTCTTGCTCTGTTGCCTGGGCTAGAGTGCTGCGGCATCAGCCTAGCTCATAGCAACCTCCAACTCCTGGGCTCAAGCGATCCTTCTGCCTCAGCCTCCCGAGTAGCTGGGACTACAGGCATGCACCATCATGCCTAGCTAATTTTTTTTTTATATATATTTTTAGTTGTCCTGCTAATTTCTTTCTATTTTTTTAGTAGAGATGGGATCTCACTCTTGCTCAGGCTGGTCTCGAACTCCTGACCTTGAGCAATCCTCCCGCCTGGGCCTCCCAGAGTGCTAGGATTATAAGCATGAGCCACCACGCCCAGCCCATGTCGTTTTTAGCTATACAAAAATTTGTTTTTATTCAGTCATATAAAAATATTTACAGTTTTATCTTTCATTGCATCTAGAGCTTGAGTCATAGAAAGCTCTCCCTTCCATCCAGGTTATAGAGGAATTCACCCAGAAGTATTTTATAAAGCATTTGTTTGTTTGTTTGTTTAATCCTGAATTAAATAACCAGTTAATTAATTTCGACGGGATGGCTGGGGAGCCAGGATAATAACAGAAATTAGTAAAAATAGCAGGTGGCTTATAACAAGCTATAAACCTACTGGAAGATGATCAGAAATCTAACCTTTGTTAATTATGGTAAATTCTCATGGTAGGGATTAGGTAGATGTTTTTTGTCCCTTGATTTAATGATCGTTAACAGCAAATTGTATTTTAAAGTGCATGCCTGTTGGCGATGATTAAAGTTTTGGCATTTCTAAAACACAGGAGTTAGATTTAGTACATTCTCCACAGAACTTGCACTGGAAAGTGGCACAACTCAAATTTTGTGTGTTCTGCATATTGAAAGCATACATGTAAATGCCTGTGTGTACATATCACATGTAGCTGTACTTCAACTGCTTGGCTTTTGCTGCATTCGAAATGCATGCTTTGGCAATTAAATACAAAGACAGTGCTTTTCTAGAAGCTAGAGTTGCAAGAGCCTTAGCCATTGAGAGTCTAGAAGCAAGACAGAAGAAGCCAATTTGAATGAGGCCAAAATGGATGTGACTCAGTTGCCAAACTTTATATGAGAAGCGTTCCTTACACCCTCACTCAGATTCTATTACTTTTACTACATACGCAGTTATTTTCAATTTGATTATCTGGTATCATAGCCAGCGGCGTATTTAAAAAAGAAAGAAGGGAATGCTATAAGAAGCAAAAACATACCTAGCCAAAAATAACAACAGACAGCCTCAAGGCAAAGGAACAAAAGAAAAACTACAAAAGACAAATGGAAAAATTAAAACTCAAGAACTTGAAGCCCAGTAGAATTTAGCTAAGGGATAGTAAACAACCACGTCTCAGTGGCTCCAGGAGAGCACTGTTGATAACATAGTCCAAATATTAGAAGTTTGTAATGGAAATCTTGGTTATAAGAAGACTCAATTACATTCGTAAGAAATTATATCATGTGCTTTTAGAAATATTTTCATTCAAATTATAAAAAGATTTTATATGTAAAGAGGGATTGTTACCTTACACTAGTAGTAATAGCAAACATTCAGTCCTGTGGTTTATGTATGGAATTTTATTTAATTCTTCCAGCAACCCTCTGAGGCTGATACAAATACCAGTAACCCTGAGATACCATTTCCCTAATCTGAAATCCCAAATAAATAACCATTATACCTTTCTAGATCTGAATTCTATAAACACATTGTGCTTTCTGGAGGGTCTACTATGTACCCTGGCCTGCCATCGAGGTTGGAACGAGAACTTAAACAGCTCTACTTGGAACGAGTTTTAAAGGGAGATGTGGAAAAACTTTCTGTAAGTATCAATAATCCGACTATATTAACATTCTTAAAACTCAGAAAAGTAGTTTGTGAATCTTGACAACCACTAGAGGGAGCAAGAAGTCTTCCTAAACAAATTCCCACTGCAATCAAGTGCATCCTGGAAGAGATAGGTCGAAGTAAATGGTTCAAGGTGAGCTCTATCCCAGAATGGTGGTACTATATTCAGTGGATTGAGACAGGTCAGGGCCAAACGTTCTGGTTCATCTGTACCAACCAGCATGGATTCGTAGATGCCTCTAAGTACATGGGAAGAACCTGCTACACTATGGAGAAATAAATGCCCTACTTGGGGCTTTTTGTTGTTGTTTTTTGTGGGAGGTTTTGTAACTTTTTGGATATGTAATCAGCCTTCAGCACTACACTTGGGCTATCTCATATTTCTGATTTTAGGTTATTTTTTGGCTATTTGTTGCATGTGTCTTTTCTCCCCAGATTGTAAAACATCATGTCTTCAGTTCTTTTGCATTCCAGTGATTGTCATAGCTCTCGAAACTGACTTTAATTGGTAGTTGTTCATATGTACAGCAGAAAGAAATTTTTAAACTAATATATGATAGTTGATGTTTCTTTGACATCCCAAACTCTCCCCTGAACTCTGGACTATGTGAAGTACACTGTATGTACTCAAGCAAGAGTCATTTAATCCTGGGTTAATCTCTGAGATTTATCTCACTGACTTTGATCAACTCTTTTAGATAATGAGGTTACATACTACAGAGTACTGTGTATTTTGGAGACACTAATGTTACATCTTATATGACTTAAATTGTTGAAATTGAGTATGTGCTCACATACATTAAACAAAGTAAAGACTGGAAAGGAGCCATGCTAAGTACTTCACTCATTTTTCTGACTTTATTGAGTTACACATGTAATTTAAAGTCAGTCTCAGGTAATTATTTATTCAGCAAACATTTTTTGAACTCCTGGGTGCCTAACATTGGTCTAGGTGCTGGGGACAAAACAGTGGTGGACAAAACCCAAATCCCTGATTTTTAATGTAAATAATATATCTGTAGTAATAAGTGCTGTGAAGAAAAGTAAAGAGCTAGAAAATGGTAGTGGTTGGGGAAGTCATGTGCTCCTTCATAAACTGTGGTCAGGAAAGGCCTCTCATGAGGTGACTTTTGATCAGAGATCTGAATCAAGTGAGGGAGTGAGCCTATGACTACTGGGGGAAGAATCTTCCAGGCAGCAGCAGGGCAAAAGCCCTAAGTTGGTGGGAGTGTGCCAGTGTGGCTGGAGCAGAGTGAGCATGGGAGAGGGGTGGGAGCTCAGGTCAGAAAGTGGCAGGGAGGCAGGTCTCGTTTAACCATGGTAAAGGGATTGGCTTTACTCCTAGTGCGATGGAAGGTCTTGGAAGGGTTTTGAGAAGAGAAATGATAGGATCTGACATGATTTTTTAAAGGATCATTAAGTCTGGTGTGAGGAATAGATTCTTGGGGGAGGAAGGAACAAAGGTGGACATAGAAAGACCAGTTAGGAATCTATGAGAGGAGGGAAGAGGTGGTAGAGGTTAAAAGAGAGGAGGATGTTGAAACTCTTGTCTTGGAGAATGGAAGAGAGAATAGAGAAATATAGTAGGCTTGCCAAGCAGCACTAAGGGCTTATTTGAGGTTAAAGGTAAATTTAAAGCAAAATGTTGAATTTTTTTTTTTTTCCTATCTTGTTCAGCTGCTTGAGAGCTGGTGTAGAGAGCTGATAAGTTGTTTTGCCAAATGAGTATGAGAGGGAGAGAAGTACAGAGTCACTAAGGATGATGTCAGGAAGTGGTGGAGAAAACATGTGCATGCACAAACCAAGGATAGGTATGAGAAGAAATAACCTGGAGATCTATAGATGTCTGCAGGGATCTATTGATGACTTCAGCAAGGAGGAGTGGTAGATGGAATAGTCTGATAGAATGAGTTTCAAAGGGGCAGTGGAGGAAGGAGATAGAAGCAGCAGTGAAGAGCAAAGAACTTGTATTACCAGATCTCCAGGGTTAAGAAGGTAGTGTGAGAGAGAAACAGCAACCAGTTGAAAATATACAGGGGAAACAGTGTCTTTAGGGGCTAGCTAAGTTTCCCTTAGAGCAGCGGTGGGCAAAGTATAGCCCCTCTGCCAAAACTGGCAGGTTTTGTAAATAACATTTTATTGGAACACAGCCAGGCCCATCTGTTTACATGGTGTTGCCTATTGTCACATACTGTCTATGGCTGCCTTCTAGCTACATGTAGGGTTGGGTAGTTGCCAGAGAGACCCACGAAGCCTCAAGTATTTACTTTCTGGCCCTTTACAAAAAAGGTTTGCGGAGCGCTACCTAAGAGCAAAAAAATAACTAGAGCAATTAAAACAGTAGGTTAGTCTCAGAATTATTATAAGTAAAATGAGGTTTTTCTTTGCCATAGATTACCAGATTCTTACAGTTTACTTATGTGACAGAAAGACAAATAATTTAGAATGCCATAATTAGCTTTGAGTCTTTTTTGCAGGATCTGTGACACTGTAAATAAAAACTGCTATGTCATCTGAAGGTTTCTCTTTCAGATGTTGACCTCTCATACAGATTACTGTGTCCTTTCTAGATAATTAATAGTAGCTACAGAGTATAAAACTTTTCCCAGTTGTCTTTAATTTTGGTTACTGTGTTCATTTTCTCCAACATCCCCATGATTTGTTTTGACCATATTTGGCCTTGTTTATTTTGGGAACATTTCATTTGAATTTGAGACAATAGAAAGTGAGCTTTGCTTAGAAGAAAAAACTTAAATTTTACTCTATTGCATTGGACTAGAGTCATAGCTAGACCTTTAAGAAATTATCCAAGTCTTTTTTTTTTTTTTTCACCTGGGGAGAGATGATATTGATATCCAAGTCTTCATTTGACAGTTAAGTGACTTGTCCCTGTGGTCACCTGCCAGTGGATGAAAACACCTGCTATTCACCTCTGATACTTGAGCTGTCAGTAGAATCATCAGTGTCATAACTTACCCATCAAATCGGGACACTTTAGAGTACCGTTAATAATAATGGTGGGACAACAGGTGTAAATCAGGACTGTTCTAAATTCACTAGGATGGATATGTGGTCTTCTAACTGTGAGCTTTGGTCAAATTACTAAATGGCTCTGTACCTCAGCTACCAAATCCTGCTGTCCTGCTTATCACAGGACTGTTGTGAGATTTGGCCAGAAACTATATGAAAAAATCATTTTCATAAAGCAGAAAACACTGTGCACTTGTGCATTTTATTATCCTCTCTTTCTCTAGAAATTTAAGATCCGCATTGAAGACCCACCCCGCAGAAAGCACATGGTATTCCTGGGTGGTGCTGTTCTAGCAGATATCATGAAAGACAAAGACAACTTTTGGATGACCCGACAAGAGTACCAAGAAAAGGGTGTCCGTGTGCTGGAGAAACTTGGTGTGACTGTTCGATAGACTCCAAAGCTTATTCCCATCATGCTCCTAACACTTTCTTTTTTCCTTTATTGCCAATCTTTGAACTCATTCAACTCCAGGACATGGAAGAGGCCTCTCTGTGTGTGCCCTTTGACTGGGAAGGTCAAGTTTTATTCTGGTGTCTTGGGGAAGCTTTGTTAAATTTTTGTTCATGTGGGTAAATCTGACTGTTTAATTCAACCGCTTTCCTACAAACACAACAAGAGGGCAAAGGGTCCTGTCTGCTGCTTTGTTTCTTCTAAGTAGGCATTTAGGTCATTCCTATAGGCTTCCTATTTTGACTTTACTGCTCTAATGCTGCTAGTTTTAGTCTTTAGCACACTAGGTGGTATGCCTTTATTAGCATAAGAAAAAACTTTAACAGGAGCTTTTACATATTACTGGGGTTGGGGGTGGTTAGGGATGGGTGGGCAGCCTCTGAACCCTTTAGGGCATTTCCTCTGTAGTGTGGCACTTTGAGCAGTTACTGCTGCAGCTTTAAATACCTTAAAGTTTCTCTTATTAACATCGTAGGGAAATGTTAGGTTCAGAACTAAATAAAGTGTTTTGGGTGGGTTTTTGCGTGGGGAGGGGCAGTGGGTGGTCTTTTGATTTTGATTTTTGAGGTTTTTCTCTCTGGGGTACCTAAGATGAACTTTATTTACAATACTTTGATTTGGCCATTTTTCTTCTACTTTTGGTCTGCCTGGAACTGTTTCCATGTGATATAAAAGGAAGGTGTAGTATTCCATTACCATGTGGCTTAGGGATTTATTTGTTTTTTCAAATCAAACATGTTGGCTGGGACTGGACTCCCTAGAATCTATCAATGGAAAAGTAATGTTTAAAAATGCTTTTGGTAATTCAAATTACAATTTTAAAAGTGCTTAAGACTGGTGTTTTCTAAATGCTTCTGTTTATTCCAGAATCATTAAGGTAACCCGGTGCCAAGTACCATTCTTATAGATTATTCTTTTATATAACTGATCAGTGTTTATTTAATAAAACAAGCAGGTACTTATAAATAACTGGCAGTAGGTTATTCTAATTGTTGAGTTAAAAATAACATTGGAATATGGGACTTGTTGCCAGTTGGGTAATTTTCATCAGGTTTTCTTTTGGTTTGGTTTGAAACCTGAAAGTGTAAAATTTGACTGTTTAAAATGATGGCCAAAAAAATCAAGATTTAAATTTGTATTTGTACCAAAAACTAATCATAAATGCTAATTCTCAGCCATCTTTTATGCTTGAAAGAAGAATAGTTGGTATTTTGTAAATGTTAGCAAACTTTCCTGCCCATGTCAGAAAATCCTATTTATGAATCCTGTCGGTATTGCTTGGTGCCTGAAAAAAATATCAAATAGTACCCATATGTTAGTTCTTTCTAAGTGTAAAAAGTAAAATAATGAGAAATTGTATCACACTAAGTACAAAATGCAGGTTCTGGAAAAAATGTTTTCTTTCATTTCAAAATATTTTTTTTACTAATAATGGCTTTGAAAGAAGTGGCTTAATTTTGGGGGTGATGAAATCAGAGAAATTTATTGGCTTGAGTCTCTTCGGTGAGAAAATTTAATTTGTTTATATGAAATAAGCAGCAAAAGGTTAGTTTTAGTTATGCAGTTTATGTTAATATTAAAAATTTTTTGTCTGCTTTACCTCAATTTGAATAAGTAAGTTTGCCTGCATGCTGGACATGCTTCAGTACACGTGAATAGCCAATGAAAAATGTCTACTAGCTTTGGGGAATGTGGATCTCAGAGTCACTTTAGAATTCTAAAGTGTTCCTAAATCATGTTCTTATAAATACCCCCAGCCTTTTGAGTACTGGGCTTA